AATCAGTCACCTTATTAGCACATTTCAAAGCAATTTTCAGGGGGCTAAATTTCCGGAATCATACATCAGCACATGGTCAAATCAAACTCATTTGTAACTGGGGTCTTTGGCTTCTGATAAGAACCTAATCAGTCGTGCACTCTACAATTTTCTGTTTTTGTCTATGAGATCTTGTGGTTTCCTACATGGACACTACAGTGAAATTACCAAGCAGTGAAAAGTATGAACTGCCTTATGAGTGGAGCTGTTGCCCAGGGGTAACAGTGACAAATCTTGGGATGGCTCCTAAATCTCAGGGACAAACCTTTGGATCTTTCCTTCAAGCGTCCCAATCAAGACTCACAAAATTCAGTGTTGAGAATAACTTAATGGCAAAATATCTGAAAAATAAATTCGTATTTTCATTTCTTATCCAAAGATTATATCTGCACCCTTTGATTACATAATTCGAGATTTTAAAAAAAGGACTCAGATACAATAAGACCTCACTAGTCAAGACCTTGGGCTAGAGATTAAAAACAATTGTATCACCTGGGAAGTTTTTAACATAAAAATAGATGAATGGCAAAATTAACATTCTTTGTTAGTTAAGAAAAATAGAAGACTACTTTGAAAAACATTTTGGTTTTTTTTTTGAGAAATACACATTTCAAGAATCAGTTATTTTACAATTGCCTTAGACCTATGTAGCTGAGGACAGGATTAAGAAGGACACTTCACATATTCCTATGCACCTTCTGGATTTTGAGCCATGTAAATGTGCAACATATCCAAAAATAAAATTGCAATTTTATTTTTATTAGGAAATAAGGTGTAAATGTCCTACATAATAGAGGTTGGTAGAGAGGAAACACACTTGCTCTGACTGGAAGCCAAAAGGAAGCTACTCACATAGACTGTTCATATATCATCCTACCTAGATCCCAAACTCTTTGTTAATTCAAGTAGTTTTTTTGTTTTTATTTAAATTCGGGGTGGGATACTATTACCTCCCTGCTCCCTCTCACTCCCCACAAAAAAAAGTGACTCTCCTCCAGCAAAAACTATTCCCCATTGCTCAGATCCCATTAACACTAATCAGCACAATGATTAGGCATGTTGTGGTTTTAAGCAGTCTAGTTGATAAGGACTTCTTCGGAAAAAGTGTTCCCATAGCGACAGGTAAAGGCTGTCATCAAACTCAGCTTTTCAACACAGTACTTTGTGTCTCAGATCAGAGTTAAGATTGTTTTATCATGAATTTAGAGGGTTTCTTTTTGAACTTTTCACTTGACTTTATTCAAAAGACACTTAGAAGAGTCCTCCTGTACACCAGGCACAATACAGCGCACTAGGAAGGAGGGAGTGGGGCAGGAAAACAGGAGAACCAGGACAAAGAAGATCTCAAAGATAAGATATTGTTTCTGCCCTCCAAAATTGTAATCTGAAGAGGAAAGCAGCCTCTACAAGAAACAATGCCTTTAGGATGACAACTGAATCCCAAATCCTTCGCCAAACTGCCTCTTTACCACCAGGACTGGTCAGTTTCTAATCTAGTTTCACTTTCCCGTCTTTAAGCTGCAGCACAGCTGGGTTTCCAGCTGGCTGTGGAAGAAAAGATTCTTTAAATAAACAGCATTTTAAAAATATGCATTTGCTTTTACCATACTGAATTTTGTGAACCACCTTTCTCTAATATGTGATTCTGGGTGCCAAATTAACTTAAAACTATCCTAAAGAACATAAGCTCTCCAGGATATACACCTTGTCCATGTTTAAAAACAAAATACTGTATGTTATACACTAGAAAACTAAAAATCAGCAAATCCCAAAGGAAAAAATATATATATACATATATAGCTATATACTGCAACTATTCAACAAGGGAAACAGCTCAGAAACATGCACATGAGAAAGCAACAAGATAGGGTGTAATTATACCAAAATATATGGAACCATCTTTTAAAATGCAGGACTATTTGCAGAATAGATGTTTTTATAGCATGGCATGGAGTTGCTGGTCCTTGTGAGGCCTTTCCAATTCTTCTTCTTCTTCCCATGAGGCAAAGAAAACACTTTCAAGTATGCAGTTTTCTTAGAACAGATATTAGTTAAGTCTTGACCACCAGAGATAGTATTTCTGGATAAATAATTCACATTAGATCTGCAAAAATGCCCCTTTGGCAAGTATCGCTGTTCCAGCAACAGCACTTTACCATTTCCCACTTGAGAGCTTTGACTTCAAGTCAACATTCCACGGTTGAAATTAGTCATTCATGAGGACCTTCAGAAGGTGTCCAATATGACTCTTGTATGGATGTTACCGAGGCATGTGTCAACTTTTAAGCCCAAGATATTCCTACATATGGTACACAATCCCAAAGTATTGCCTTCCACCCCCAAACACAGCTTTTCTGATCACCTCCCAGGAACCAAACCTCTAAACCCCAGACACATTCAAAGCTGAAGCTGGCAAAACAAAGTAACAATTCGACCTCAGTTGCTCAACATAACGGCCAGGATGTCAGGTTTCAAGTGCCAGTTTCCCTATTTTGCAATAGGCAAGTATGCTCCAAGGAGAAAACATTCTCAATGACCCTGTGGCCCAGAGGGTTTTCTTTAGAATAGAAAACAGAAAATGAATGTGTTGGTTACTTCCTGCTGAGCACAAGGAAGGTGTTGTGGTTAGTTAGGATGATTTTGTTTCCCTATTTAATATACCATTACTGTCTATGTTTTCTTTAACCACATAGTAGAAAATAGGTTTATATTCTTCTACCACATTATCACCACTTCCACAAATCTCCTCTCAGAAATATGCCCTTTGATTTCTAGTTCCCTTATGTAAAGCTCCCCAGACATTTATTTATTCACTATCAATTCAAAGCAATAGTTCTGCATTCTAAAATATTTACTGTCATAGGTATTCCTGCTGCTTGATAATTTATGATGTGTGAGGGCCTTCCCTTTACCAGGGATTGCGGTCCTAAATTTATCTTTTTGAGAAGTGTGCTACACATGCTATTTTAATAACATGAGAAGGCCATAACCTAAAAGCAGACTGTATTTCTGACTCCCAGATCTTTCAGTGTCTCAGCATTCAATTGTTAAGCTGTCAAAAGCTAATTAAAGCAAACAAGGTGGAACTGACATGCTTATGTTGAGAAGCAAGTAGGAGAAGGGGGACAAAAGGAGAAGCCCCTTCCTCTGTGGGATTACCTGACAATCTCTAGCAGGTCCTCAGGGCCTGGGCCAGGGATCATTTGAAGCTGTGCACTTGCATATTCAGGAACAATTCAACAAAAACCAAATCAGAAGCTGTCCTTGGATAAGGTTCAGTAAGTGTTTTTACTACCTATCTCCACTGCATGGTAGAGTTCCACAGCTCCCCAAGGGGTCTCAGAAAAATACTTAACAGAATAAAAATTTTAAAATCCTTAACTGGTCTCAACTTATCACATAAAACATTTCAGAACATAAAATCAACATTAAAAAGCAGTCAACAATATTCCTTAGCGTAATATCAGTCATAAATTGCTGTTATCACCAAAGTCTTTTTCCTTCTTATTAAGACACTGCCAAAATTCTTCTCATTAAAGTGATCACAGCTTAACATAGTGCCTGGATATACTCCCACAACTAAACTCCTAAAATTTGCCTCTTGGAAAAGCGAGACAGAGAAGCTTCCAAAAGTCAAAAACATTGATCTAAAAAGATGGGTTTAACAAAACTTACAGTGAGCCGTTTGCACATATTTTGTGACTCGCGCCTGTTTACACTACCCAGATTCAGCTGGTAAACTGGTAAACATATATATGAACTTCTGTAAGAGTCTACGACTATTTACAAGTCAGTGATTGATTACATAGCTCACAGTCACTCCAAATGCTGTAGGTTTAGCTTGAGTTAGAACAAGATGAAGCCCCAGTATGAACAGGCACAAGACAGACTAACAGTGAATACTCCATCCAGGGGACAATTCTGTTTAAAATACCTTCCTGAGAAGTGCTGAATGGAGGGACACGAAGAAAAAGCTCTTAAACTGACGTTTCGTTGCCTTTTCACACGACCCAGGAGACCCCATTCCAGGGTACCAGATCCACAGATTTCAGTTTTGTTTCTAATCACCTGCATTCCTGTGCAGCACCCACCATCATGAAGATAAAGAGATGCAGTCAGTACAACCAGTCAGCAAGATGTCACAGCTGAACTCACGGCATTCAGCAGAAGTTACTCTATTTCATCATCATGATCATCATCATCATCATCAAAAGACCTAGTAAGATCCTCCAGGAACCGCTACAAAAGGCGTCTGCTCACTGAACCTGGAGGTAAGGAGAAGGCTACCCACTTAGCAAAGACAGGCAATCACGATAGAGAAAAAAAAAAAAAAGCACAAAAAACCCAAAACCCGGTGCCACATGGAGGACGGAAAACAGTAGCAGAAAAAGTCCAACTCTGCCTGCGCCAGCGGTGTGGATGAGCAGAGCAGCGAGCCTCAGGGAGGAAGGAGGGGGCGGGGGTGATCATTCCCTAGGAGAACTTGTAAGCGAAGGCCTTCAACCGCCTGGGAATCTGCCCAGCTGCTCCTGCAGACCCTGCCAGCCTGGGCAAGACAGGCCCTTGGGAGTAGAGCGCCCAAGGCCTCCGAGGGTCACTCCTGACTCACTGAGCTTCAGGACAGCACTGCCCGGACCTCTCCGTTTTTTCCTTCCGCTACTGGGCTATGATGGCAGCTTTCCAGCCCCACATGCCATACATCAGCCGCAGATCCCTGCTGGCACAGGCCGGCGCCTCCCCCGCCCCCCAGCCCCTGGCACACTTTGCGCCTGACCCTCCTCTCCAACCCCAGCCCCCTCACCCCCCCGTGCCAGTCGCCCCGCTCTGGAGGCGCCCCCCTCCCCCCCACCAGCGGCTGGACGCTGACAGGCCTGGGCACCTGCCGCACCTCCCCGCCCCACCCCCATTTTCTACCACCTCGCCCCTCCCCCTTCCTCTGGCAGAGGGAGGGGGCGACTCACCGCAATCAGTGCATAGGATCTTGCCCACCTCCTTCTTGAGGTTTTTGCCGTTGGTGTCGAGGGGGGCAAAGGCAGTCTTAAAGACTAAGGGCTGCTCCGTGGGCTCCAGAAAAAAGATGTAGCGCTGGTTCCTCTCGAGCGGCGCGCAGGAGCCCACGCTGATCACCTGCTCGCGCTGCAGCCCCCCGCTCCGGAGCGGCCACTTGTCCAGCACCTTCACCAGCGCCACTCGACCCGAGGCGGGCGGCTCGCGAGTGCTGTTGGAGCTGGCGCCGCTGGCCGGAGCCAGCCCCTGGACCTTGCCCTCCACCACCACGGGTGCCTTGTACGCCTGGTCCTGCACCGACTTGAGGCTGGGCGAGTAGCAGGCGAGCGACACACCGAAGAGCAGCATGGAGAAGCCGGGGGCCGGGTCGCGCCTCATGCCGCCGGCGGCTGTGGCTCGCGGGCGGGCGGCGGCTCTCCGGGCTGCGGGGCTGCGGGGCTGCGGCTGCGGCTCTGGGGGCGCAGCGGGACGGGAGATGCTGTTGCTGCTCCTGATCCTGCTGCTGCTGCCGCTGCCTCTCTCGCCGCTGCTGCTGCTCGTCTCGCTGCTGCTGCTTGTGTTGCTGCTGTCGCTGTGGCTGCTGCACGGAGCCTTCTCCAGTGGTGGTGGCGGCGGCGGCGGCAGCGCTGAGCAGCAAACCTGCCGCATCTGGCCAGGCCATTTGGGGGGCTCCGCCACTCCGCCGCCGCCGCCTTGGGAGGGGAAACAGAGCCCGCTGGAAAACCGGAAACAGCGTTACGTTAGCGCCTCGTAGCCCTCCGCCGGCGGCCGGGGAGGTGGCCCCGCTCGGGCAGGGGGCAGGCAGCGAGCGGGCCGCGATGCGCAGCGCAACGCAACGCAGCGCTCCCTCCCCGCGCGCCTGCACTTGGTGGAGGATGCGGAGGCTGGGACGCCCGCCCACTAGCTCTCTCGCGCCCCCTCTTCCCCCGGAGCTAGTGAGGAGCGCGGCTTCTGCAGGGGAAGCTTAGGGCTGCGCTGCTTTAGTGCTCGCCTTCAAGCCCGCAGGGGCGCGCGGGAGGATCTTGCCACCCTTTGCTCTTGGGATTTATTGGCCTGACCGTGGGGGGTAGTGCGTGAGGAGAGGGCGGAGAAGAGAGAACGGGTTCTGACAGCATCCTAGGAACGTGGGAGTGGGACACAGGGCGTGCCTCTGCCTTGGCATCGGCCGTAGGAACCAGGGAGGTGGCCACGACCAGGATGGCGCGCCAGTCTCTCGACCTCCTGAGCGCCCTAGGGGAGGACCCTCAACAAAACAGCCCCTAGAGGAGCCACGTGCTCGGCCGGGCTACCGCCTGGTGAGCGCTAGATGTTCAAGTTGAGGTAGGGGAGGATCCTAGCCTCGTCGTTTTGTAAAGGGTTGGAGCTACCTGGAGTCTTGTGGCAGCGTCGAAGACAGTTAGTTGGTCAGAGGTGGTGGCTAGAAAAGGGTCCAGTGCTCAAAATTTCAGGTTTTCTCCAGTAGTCAGAGGTAACCAGGCTACACACGGTACAGCCCCATTCTCTTTTTAAAATCAACCCAAAGGAAGAAGAGGGGCTCTTGGGAGACAGTTGAGAGCCAGAAAGTGGTTGGGGGTGGAGACTCCTGGATAGAAATGGTTTCTTTATAAAAAGTCTAGTGCTTTCAAGAGCCAGATGAATTTGTTCCATTGGAGTCAGTGTCCGATTTTTAATAAATACAGTATATCCATAACCTATTCTAACAGTGGGAACCCAAGCGTTTTTAATACTCAGGATTTACACTTGAAGGCTATGGCACTGAGAAACGCTAGCAAGGTCTTTGAAAATTTTACCCCTTTTTAGGCCCCACAGGAAACTGGCCCAAGGGTGTCTGACTTAGGCTAGGACTGCTATTCCGGAAGGGAAAGAGGAGCCAGACTTTCCTCCTACCTGTCTAAGACACAAACTCTACATATCCAAAGCCAACAGGATTATTTCTCACATCTGACTCCAATGTCCCTATAATGATTAATGGCATCATTTTACACTCCACCATCCAATCCTTTTCAGAAAGTACCTTGGTTTCTCTTATTCTCCCTCATCCAATCGGCCACCAACTCTTTTGGCTCTATCTTCTAAAAAAAAAAAAAAAATCTCTAATTTACCTCCTGCCTCTTCAGCTCTGATGCAAATACTTAAAGTCAAAGTACTCATCATCTGTCACCTGGACAACTGCAAAGCCTCCTGACCAGGAGCCACTTTTTGCCTTATTGCTGACCACCTCCAATCCTGTCACTACCAGAGTGATGTTTCAAGCAACACTTGTCAGGAGTAAAGTTCAGACTCTTCAGCAAGGCTCTTCGCAGACTCCTTCTGTTTATTTAGGCAGTTCTAATTTTTTTTTTTTTTTGTCTTTTTGAGACAGGGTCTCGCTGTGCATTTCAGGCTGGCCTTGAGCTCACTTTGTAGCCCAGGCTGGTCTCAAATTCGCAATGATCCTCCTGCCTCAGGCTCCTTAGTGCTAGGACTACAGGCGTGAGCTTCCAGGCCCGGCTCAGCAGTTCTGTATCTTGAGAGCCAGTCTTCTATCCAGGCTCTTCAGCTCATTGTGCTGCTTTTTAGAGTGCTTCTGTTTGTGATGACTCATGTCTAGGAAGTCCACCTTGTTACCTGGAAAACTATTCTTTTCCTAAAACCCAGCTCAGCATCATATCTGATCTCCCACTTCCTACACAAACACCACCACTTCCATCATCATGCATGCATAGGACGGAATTAACCCCTTCCCTCTCTGTGTTACTCTGAACCTCAGGCATAATACTAGTATGGCACTGTCTCGTGCGGTAATTTTTTTTTTTTTTTTTTTTTTTTTGGTCTTTTTGAGACAGGAGCTCGCTATGCAGTTAAGGCTGGCATGAGCTTACTTTGTAGCTCAGGCTGGGTTCAAACTTGTGATGAGCCTCCTGCCTCAGTCTCTGGAGCGCTGGGATTATAGGCATGCACCACTATGCCACGCTTCTTCATGCAGTACTTCAAGTAGCTGTTAATGCACCTGCATCTCCCGTCAGACAGGCAACTTTTTTTTTTTTTTTTTTGTCTTTTTAAAACAGGGTCTCACAGGGCTAGGGATTTAGCTCAGCGGCATAAGCGCCTGCCTTGCAAGCAGACAGTCATGAGTTCGATCCCCGGTACCGACAAAAAGGAAAAAGACAACAAAATAAAACAGAACAGGGTCTCACTATGCAGTTCAGTGTGACCCTGAACTCACTTTGTAGCCCAGGATGGCCTTGAACTCACAATGATCCTCCTGCATCTGCCTCTTGACTGCTAGGATTATAAGCCTGTGCTACCATACCTAGCTAAAATAGGCATCTTAATGTTCTATGATTAGAACTACGACCTATGTTCTGTAAGTCCTTGGATCTCACACAGTATCTGGCATAGAAAAGGGATCAACAGATCTTCAGTCAAGGAAGTAGAAAAGGAAGAAAAGAACTGAAGATTGGCATCTTTGAAGTCATCAAGTCAAATTTGATGGTAAGATCCTAGATCTTACAAAGCACAAAACCTTATTACAAAGAGGATGGTTAACTCCACCCTTTTACTTCAGTGAGAAAGTCCTCGGCAGAAAAAGGGACTTAAATTCATACCCATCCAAGGGGCTGAGGCCAGAGAGGCGATGAGCTTATGCTCTGGAGTCAAGCAGAGCTGGCTGTTCAACCAATTTTGTCACTTATTGACTTTGGTGTGAGTTTGCTTTCTAGACCTCAGTTTCCTCAGCAGAATAATGGAGAAGAATAGGCTCTACCTCGGAAAGCTGGATACTTTTGCTCTTTATGTACTTTTCAGTAAGTTCTCAACCAAAGATTCCTCTGTGCTAAGCACCAAGGCACTGAGCTCTTCCTGGTGCACTGCAGGGAGCCTGAGGGACTTTGTCCCTGCGCTCAAAGCTCCTGCTACAGTTGGCAGGCAGCAATAAACAAGCAGGCAAATAGGTAACTAATTGCTTACCGTGATGAGTATTCTGAAGGAAATAAACAGGATGAAATAAATGATAGAGAATAATAGCAACAGAGGAAGGGAGATTAACTTGGATAAAGGAGGGTTTCCTTGAGATAGTATTTAAACCAAAGCTAGATAAATGTAGATTATGTGAGATGTGTAAAGTGCTTAGAACAGTACCTGGCAAAATGTTCAGTATTGTTGATAATTAACATCAGTGATTCCCAGTCAAAGAACTAAGACTAATTGACATAGAGGATTCTCTGTATATAAAAAAAAAAAAAAAAAAAAAAAGTAACTCAGGAAGCTGAGGCAGGAGAATTACTATGAATTTGAGGCTAGCTTGGGCTACACAGTGAGTTTGAGACCAATCTCAACTACATAGCCAGATCCTGTTTAAAAAAAAAAAAAAAGCAGGAGTTAGACCTGGTACTACAGGCTTATAATCCCAGAACTCTAGGAGACTGATGCAAGAAGATCACAAATATGAGCCCAGCCCAGGCAATTTAGCAATTAATGAGATCTTGTTTGAAACTTTTAAAGATGAAATTTAAAAATGGGCTGGGGTAAAGCTCAGTATAAAGGCCCTAGGTTCAACCCTGAGCGCTACTCTTACTAAAAGAAGGAGGATGAAGATGTAGCTCCTTGGTAGACTGCTTGCCTATCATACACAAGGCCCTGGGTTTAATGCACAGCAGCACAAGCCAAAACAAAACACACTCTTAAAAAGTATACCCATTTTGCTGTGAGTGGTGGCATATGTCTTTAATCCCTGTCATTGGGAGGCTGAGGCAGGAGGATTGCCACAAGTCTGAGGTCACCCTAGGCTACAAAGTGAGCTCAAGGCTAGCCTGAACTACACAGTGACACCCTGTCTCAAAAAAAAAAAAGTGTATCTATTTTAAAACAAAATATTGTTAAATTTTTAAAAAGTGAAGAAGAATATAAGACATGCAACCATTTTTGACTTGTTAAAAGATAAATGTAGGCTGGGGATTTAGCTCAGCGGCATAAGCGCCTGCCTTGCATATAAGGCAGGGGATATAGCTCAGGGGTAGAACACTTGCCTAGCATAGGGGAGGCTCTGAGGAGTTCAATCCTCAGTAAGGAGAAAAAAATTAATATGTGAATGTTTGTAGGACATAGACAACCATTGAAAGAACAGAGCAGAAATTGAGCTAATAGTTGGCTCTGGAGAAGGGCAGAGTGTGAGTGAGAGATGGGCCGCAAGAATACTTTCAAGATGCTCCTTTGTACTTTGTGAATTTTGTATCAAGTTTTTATACTATTTTAAAATTTTTTTAAAAGAGAATACCCTTGAATTTTATACTGTAGTTGAATTTTTATCAGATGTTTTGTCAAACAATGGTGACTTAAAGTAGAATTATAATTATGAAATTTCTTGAAAATAATTTTTGCTTTAAAATGAGATCTTTCTTGGTGCTAGGGATACATCCCTAGCTACAGCCTGGCTACAGCCCAGCAGCATAAGCACTTGTCTCACAAGTGCAAGGTCATGAGTTCGATCCCTAGCACCAAAAAAAAAAGATTAAAATGAGATCCTTCTAAAAAGTGTTGGGAATTATTTCTCTACAATCACGTCCTGCCGAAAAGGTCTGAGACGGTCTCAAAAGCTTTCCTCAAGGCAGCTTGCTGCGCTTTCTTCAAGGTGTTCTTTATCTTGCTTTTTCCTCTTTCACTCAACCCAACCTTGCTCTGCTGAGTCAGTTTTTCTTTCATTGTTCACTTTAACTGTTTCAAATAAATTTTGCCATTGCTTTACAAAGAAGAAGAAGGAAGAAGAGGAGGAGCAGGAAGAGGAGGAGGAGGAAGAGAAGGGGAAGGAGAAGGTCTTAGAATGCAAATGTAAGTTTGGTGATGCCAGAGGTCTAGTAGAATTCCAGCAGCCCCAGAAGG